TAAAATAATTTTCGAAGGAATTTTGCAGCAGTTGAACGAAATCTAAGTCGAAACTTGACAATTCAGAAATTTGTCAATCTCATTTGCCAGAGTCGTACGAAAGAATTTTTCTTCAAAATCTGTTGTTCAATTAAATATAGGTATAGTTGCGAGGAAATTGTCTCTATGATAAGCAACGTGATATTCGTATCACCTTCCCTTCTACAACGAATATCAAAATCGTGTAGTGTGAATATTAACACGAATAATCGTACGCGTGTTGTTCCAACAGAGTAACACTTTCTACTAAAATCGATAGAAGGTGATCGATATGAACTCTCTTTTCGAACTGTTCTGAACCAAGCGAGCCACATCGAGCGGAGCCTGTCGATCGGTGGCGGACTTTATCGTGGATTAATTATGGAAAATTAGCCGATCGAACGTACCGTGCCGGAGGAAGCGACGTGATAGGATATTAGCACTCCCACATTTGCTGCCTCTCTTCCTCGGCCTAATAACGGTAATAACGACAGCAAGAGACTAGGTGGTACCAGCTATGGTAACTGTGGCATCATCGTCCATATCGTAGTCATCGACCTCGCGGCTGTCCAAGTAGCTCATACGCAAATGATGAAAAATAGCCGAATAGCCTGATGGTTTTCGTGAAATACAAGTGAAATAGAAATGCAGACGATCAAATTGAAATAATCTCACTTTTATATCCACCGTTGACCACTGTTCGTCTCTTCGCATTCATTGCAAATATTCATTTGCAATTTTTGAGAAGATTATCAGGTGATTTTATGTTTGTTACGCTGTTGTTTTTTTTTTAAATATATTTGCGAACGATGTGGAATAATTTAACGTAGTAGAAAACGCGTAAGAAAATATTGTAATTAGAAATACGGTCGATTAAAATTATCGAAGTTTGTAAATTGCCTTGCAATGCCGCGAGGCAAGCAACGATGGAGCAGTAAAATAACACTATGAATGTACTACCGTTGTAATTAACTGGTTCGTTGATCAATCGAAGATTTTTCCAGAAGAAATTTCACCTCGCTCTTCTTTCTTTTCTCGTCTATTTAATCGTTGCCTTTCGGCTTCCGATGGTTTTCATTTGCCACGATCTTACAGAAACGACCAGTCTTCGTCTCTCGTTGAAAACGTTATGCCAAAAACCATTAAAAATTTAATGTACGGCGAATTAGACGATCGAAATACCAAATCTAGTTGGAACCATGGCTTTGCTTCGAGCGATTTGATTCGTTCGTAGACACGTACGTGCCTATATTTCTATAATTCGGCAAAAATGTTTGAAAGAAAGATCAGCTGATCCTTGAAAGCCACTGACAGAAACACGAAATTTCTTCGGCTGGTTATCCTGCTTTCTTCGAGGAAACCTCATTTCGCAGGCGAGTCTCGTACGGACTAGGATTTCAGGCCGGTCTGACCGCTTCGATTGCCAAGATGCTCCCGCAGGAAGAAGAAACAAATCCGTGGACATCGAGTTAACCTCTTTCCACCTATTCTCCCTGCCGATACACGCCCTCGCACATCGAAACGTCCACGTTTCCTTTGTCCGCACGTACAATAAACTAAAGTCTCATCATCCGCGGGATTTCCACGCGATAACACGCGCATCGTCCCTTCGGAGGGGGCAAAGGTCCTGCCAGGTTTCGGACTCTCCGACTTGTCCAATGTATCCACGTAACGATGAAATAATGACAAAAGACACTGCTAACCATCTTTCGATATCCTTCATCCGTTATATATATACACACACACAGAGGAAAATAAATGGGAAATGCGGCCTGAATATTTGCTTACACACGAAGATAAGTGGAAAACGTGGAATAAGATTTGCCTATATATTAAAATCAGTGGAAAGCGTGGAGCAAAATTTGTTTGTTCGCGTTGCGAAGTAATTACTTTAAGAAACACTCTACATATTTACTTTTGTATATCCTGCGGACCTGCAGATCGCTGTTACGAAGAGAATAGAATTCGGCGAAATAAAAAATTCGAAGTAAGAAGAGAAGCATATCATCGTGACTTTGAATGCAAATTATGTTTTTTGGGTTGCAAGGTGTAGAAAGAACAGAGATAGAAAGTGAACTTTTTGCTGATGCCCTTTGCTATAAATGTATGAATTATAAATATATTTGAATATAAATTAATATAATTTATTATTCCTATTATATTCCTGTCGTAGATTCTGCTATTTTATTCTAACGCTATAAGAGTGAGGATCTGCATCAGTATACACTATACTTATACTTAGTTCGATATATTTTCCTATTACAAATTCATCCACTCGTTCCTCTATCAGTCAACCTGAACGATATCATATATTGAATTAACAAATAATGATAACAATTTATTTGATTTTGAGCTTATCGTGAAAATCTACATATCTATATGCAAATAAATTGCACAATTGGCTCGTGTATTTCGTTTTAAAAATGTCTTTTACGTTATTCATTTATCGTTTATTGCATAGAATCAATCGAGATTTTCGAATTTCTCTTCAAGAATCTCCTGTTGTGTTTTGTCAATTTGCATACATCAAAGCTTAAAAACAATCGTTTGCGACTATATTAACCCCTTAACCTACAACTATGGGCAAACAAACAAACAAACGTAAATGTTATGGGCATAGCCCGCAGTAGACGATCCTACCAAACGTAAATATTGCGGGCATAGCCCGTAGTGCGATGATCGGGCCAAATATAATATACAGGATGGCTGGTAACTGATGGTACAAGCGGAAAGGGGGTGATTCTAGGCGAAAAAAGAAGTCGAAAATATAGAACAAAAATTCAAAAATTTAAAAATTTAAAATTTGAAGATTTGAAAATTTAAAAATTTAAAAATTCAAAAATTTAAAAATTTAAAATTTGAAGATTTAAAAATTTAAAAATTTAGAAATTTAAAAATTTAAAAATTTAAAAATTTAAAAATTTAGAAATTTTAAAAGTTTGTTCTACCTGAAGTACAATTACTTCTATTCTTCATATATGTAACAATAAAAAAATATTTATTTAATGCTATATAATTTTTAGGAGAATAAAAAAAAAATTTTAAAGTGATTGTTAGATATGATGTCTATATATACAGGGTGGTTGGTAACTGGTGGTGCAAGCGGAAAGGGGGTGATTCTAGACGAAAAAAGAAGTCGAAGATATAGAATAAAAATTTTTCGTTCGAGGCTTTGTTTTCGAGAAAATCGACTTTGAAATCCGGTATAACGTACCGCGCGTGTACCGAGCCAAAGTTCAAAGTCGATTTTCTCGAAAACAAAGCCTCGAACGAAAAATTTGTATTCTATATTTTCGACTTCTTTTTTCGTCACCCCCTTTCCGCTTGTACCACCAGTTACCAACCACCCTGTATAATATAATATATAAAAGCTCGTTTACGTTTTCGGCCCAAAATTCTCGAACGTAAATCGTAGGTTAAGGGTTGAATGCTACACGCAGGTAAAAAAAGATACATTTTCTTTGGCGGCTCTTATCAGTCGAAACTCCAGCAGAATCCACTTTACACGTACTTTTATTTAGCTTTATTTCTATTTTGTATTGTCTCACTGATGTAGCCCTGTACGTCTTCTTGTTATTATTTGTATTTACTAATTGTACCACAGTGTATAACCCGTAAACTAACAAATAAGTAAATAAATAAATAGAGAAATTCATGATGTCAAAGTTATCGTTCCTTTTTTTTTTCGTTCATTTTGTACGACAAGGATTGTCAGGCTGAAAATTTCAGAAATCAAAACACACGACGAACATCGAAATTCATTCTTTCCCTTGACAAATATTCTATTTTTGCGATACTCGAAGACTTTACGGTAAACTATACATTGAAATGTTCGTAACAATTTTGTAAATCTACCGTATACCGGGCATACCTAAAATCGTCGATAATTGACCGGTACATCGATTCGTATGGTTGATGTGCGTTATTAGTTTGTTGGTTGTGGAAACGCAATAAAAAAGGTAATAAAGTAAGCGGCGAATAAACGTGTCTGGTCGGATGGGTAAATTCTTTGACCACGTAAAGAAACAAATTAAACCATCCACGTTCGCTACTCGTAATTAGCCGAGGTAGCCAAATCGCCAGCATCTCTTTTACCGCAGATTAGCATAAAGTTTATTAAGGCAGCAAGTAGTCTTACATAAAAATAATTCCAACATAAATGTCCTGTCTACGTCTTTAGTATTCTTCAGGCTGTAACATCTGTTACGTTGTAGAATTCTGTCTTTTAGTGTTTTTCGTTTTCCCACCAACGTAACGAGACGTAGTTGTCTGTATCGAGCGGCTGGATAATTTCGTCCAGCCAACCCTCGGAGATTAAACACGCAAAGTCAAACACTATATGTTCCTCGTGTAACATATTTCGGTTAACATTGAAATTATTAATATTCGAATTCCGAATGGTAAGAAGCTTCGTGTCAATTTTGTTTATCGCATGTAACACGAAAAATAATAACCAAAGATTTGAAATCTTTGCATTTTACGATATATTTTACAGTGCATTCTTTCTGCAACTATACGATTCCAACTAGTCAGTTGACATTAGAATTACTGATAGTTAACACGAAACTATTTCTACGAAAATCAGTGAAAATACATAATAATAGAATATTTTTATATTTATTGATTTATTATGTAGTACACTTTTGGTATTATCGATCCATCTAGGACTACGATCCTTAAACGAGGGTTGACAAATTTCTAAAATTGTCGAACCAGTTATTTTCACTGCTGTGGTATTTCCAGCGTTAGCATCTAGCGATCTAGCGATCGATCCGCAATTCTCCTGATAACCGATATCGTCAAATCGAACGATACGCGGTAAAAATTTGAAAAATGCGTGGCAAGTTGTAGAAAACGAGGGAACTGGTTAATTAATGTTCGATAAACAGATTGCAGGACCCTTTTACACCTTGACAAGTACCAGTCGTTCTGACTAGTATCGGTACAAGTAGCCTCGATACAAAATTATTTTCAGTTTGAATACAAATTATAATTATTCTGTTAGTTATCGTTGCAAAAAACGTTACATCATTGCGGAAAAAGATATAACACGAAGTAGGAATTTGAAAATAAAATTACAAAACCAGGCAATTTGACTGTAGTTCTAGCGTTAATCGACGCTTGGATCTTTCGAATGATTTTGGCTGATAAAAGACGACGAGTTTGAAGAGAACGAAACAATTCCTCGGCTTTGGAAAACCCGCAGGTTCGAGCGTAACGTGAAATTTAGCAGCGAAAAGCACGACAGTAGGGTAGAAACAGTTCTGTCCACGCTTCCAGACAGACCAATGGATCATCCATCGTTGGACGTGCCTTCAGGATTTGCTAGTCTCGTCACCCCATTGGCCGGGTCCTCGAGTATAATTTATCCCGTTATGCTAATCGCCACGATTTGTCTAAATTAAAAGGCGCTCCACGTTGATCCGCGGTCACGTTCGCCCCCATTTTCGTCCATCCAACCCACCGCCTCGTCTACACCGCCACCGTAAACACAGCTATTACTATGTCAAACTGCCTTGTATTATCTGGATACGCCGATCGTTTGTTTCTTTCCTGCTACTGTATTCCTTTCGTTTCTACCACGCCAAATATCTCATTTCTTTCATCCTATCGTCTCTCAATCTTCCTGGATTATTCGGTGGAATAAGTTAATCGATTCTTTGCCAACTAACTTGTCTCGAAGTAAGTCACGTAGTTATTAAATCAGAAGATTTCCTGTCGACCAAAAATTCCTTCCACGAACACGAACGATGACGCATACGTTGCGTCGTTAGATGCGAACATGCTGTGTCGTTCAATTCCAGTTACACCGAAAATATTTGCAAAACGTTGGAGAATCTGCATTGAGATATGCAGCGGCACGCGAGCCAGAGGACAATTTGAATCGTGTTGTTGTTGTTTTGCCACGGAGTATCGATATCGTTAGGATACACGCGATAAATAATAATAATAAACATATGAATAAAAGTAATAATAATAAAATGGTAATAACAAATAAACTGCGGGCAAAACAATGTCGCCAACAATTTGGATTGTCCGGTGCTCCCTCCACCGGTATAAATAAACGAACGCGATCGTAAGCAGTTTAGTTCAGTTATCAAATCAGAGTTATCAGCGATTTTATTAGCGACTTACACACTGTCTTTAGCGAATCCGTTGGTACAAGCGTTTTAGCGAATATCGTCTGTGCTTATTTATTTATTATTTTAAAATACACTGGACGGTTTCGACAACAAATAATCTCGTCGTTTAAACCTCATCGACCTACCATCCTCTACAGATTTGTATAATTTTGTGTGCTAATTTTGGCCGCGTAGTAGCGACACGCGTAACACGCTCGTGTGTCTCGAAAAACAGATCAGCAGTGTGGTATGGAAGATGGCGAGACAAAGAGAGTGCTGAGACGCGAATTACTTTGTCGAATTACGTATTTTCTTCTGCAGAGACAAACACCGCGACATTTGACAGACTCGCTTTCACGTTTGTACGAAGGTGCATCGTTGCAAGAAACGTTTGCGAAAGAAGGATACTTTCCGGACGAACTAATATATCGACGAAGATCCTGGAGATCGTTTATCAAATAAATCTAAAGCTATTTTAATACAAATTCCAAGTGTGATCTTAGCATTTCTTTACTTTTATTCCGCCGATTAAGACGCGCAATTCTCAACGATCCTACGAAAATTCCTACGAAAGATCACGAATTGGTCGCTTTTCAGCACTTTGGTAGTCGCGCTGTGAAACGTGGAAGAGGATGGAAATTTGAAAGGAGCGACGCGATACGACGGAACAAGTTGGCTGGTCAACGAGTTTCCCTGGCGGTGATACGTCTGGGAATCGTTGTCGCCGTGTTTACCGGGTCGATCGCCGGCGAGGTGGGTCCTCCTTTTATTATGTTCGGCGAGGGCCGCTTAAGGCGATGCCACGGAATGACCAAGAGTTTTAAGGATCGGCCGTATAAACGCGTGCGCGAAAGCTCACTCTGCCTACGTCTGTATAGACGGGATGTTCGCGCGTGTACGAAGCCACGCACGTTCGTCCTTTTTGCTCGTTTCTCGTGGCTTCGAGAGAAGACCGAACGACGCGGCCCTCAGGATTTTACGGCTTTTTGACGGACCACATCTCACGCCGACGAACGACAAGTCAGCCTCTCCGTCTGCTTAGTAACAAACTTGCAAATTTGTATGCGTGCATGCGCGTTCCTCCTCGTCATCTAACGGGTGTTTCCAGCATACGCTGCGCTACAAAAATACCTTCGCGGTTGCTTATCCGCCATTTCGTTTCGTTTCAAAATTAACGATCATAGTCGTGCGAAACGTTTGGATAGAATTGTCACAGATTTAGAATCGTCGAAGATGGTACAACTATTTCGTTCGATCGTGTCAGGTTGCTCGACGTTTGCGTTAATCTCGTAGCAAGTTTCTCGCGGATCAGAGAGACAACGTGTTTTTCCTCGCTTACGAAAATTGTACGACGTATGGAATTATCGCGGATTTCTTTGAGATCAGTTTCGTTGAAGTGTAGGACTGCGGGGAACATCGAAACTATTTGTAATTGCCTGTAACGTTGCGTATAATACGAAACTCGAAATGGAAAATTCCAGCTGTCTCTCGTTCTCCGATAAAAATCGATCGATTCTTTCGATAAAAGAAAACCAACGAAAGAAAGCTATTAGGTTGTCCGGGAAGTGTCTTTCTTTTACAGACGCGTCCTTTACAACGATGCGTCTTTACACAAACGTGAAACCTAATCCGTCGAACGTTGTGATCTTTATTTTGATAGAACAAAATGGATCATAAGTAATTCGATAAAATGATATAAAACTGAAAATGACTTTTTCAACGTTATTTCCTTCGGTAACGAAAGAAACTTCTCGGACGACCTGATAAAAGGGCTAAAAAAAAGTAGCTAAAAACCGACAGCGTTAAATCTACTAAAATCGTAAAGTTCCACTTGTGAACATATTTCTAAGAGTTTGACATCACTAATATTGTGTTGACGACTAAGTGATCGCTGATTTCGTCATTAGGTGGCAATGACGATTTATTTATTTACTGATATTTAGATATAATTTATACATTTAGTTAAAATTTATTTTTTTTTAATTTGTATAGAAATTAGATTTTAGTTGAAATATACAATTACTGTACTTTATCTTCGAGACGTTTTATAGTAAACTACACTGTTATAAAATTTTATGTCAATTTGGAATTATTATTATTATATATACAGGGTGGTTGGTAACTGGTGGTAGAAGCGGAAAGGGGGTGATTCTACGCGAAAAAAGAAGTCGAAAATATAGAACAAAAATTCAAAAATTTAAAAATTTAAAAATTTAAAATTTAAAGATTTAAAAATTTAAAAATTTAAAAATTTAAAAATTTAAAAATTTAAAAATTTAGAAATTTAAAAATTTAAAAATTTAAAAATTTTAAAAGTTAAGAAAATAACGTCAATCGAGACAACGATCTACAGTGAGATCCGTTATAACGAGGCGCGATAAAGTGCACGCGTACCGAGCCAAAATTCAAAGTCGATTTTCTCGAAAACAAAGCCTCGAACGAAAAATGTTTATTCTATATTTTCGACTTCTTTTTTCGCCTAGAATCAGCCCCTTTTCGCTCGTACCACCAGTTACCAACCACCCTGTATATATAAAGAACAAAGACATTACATGGTAATGACAAAATCCGCAATCATTTAGTTGCCAACCCAATACTCGAAACCGCTAGAAGAATACCATTTCGACGAATTTCTGCCACTCCGAATGACTAGATCTTTTTCAAACTTCGAAATCCGTGCAACCTCACTGTGATTTTCTAAGATTACGGTGTTCTCTGGCGCTGGCAAATCGCGACAAGAATCGAGCAGTTGCGCTTGGACGATGAAAGGAAGACGACGAGAAGAACGCGCTACGTCCATTTACGTTTATTACCAACGAACGTAGAGAAACGCGATTCACGTTCGCATACGTTGATTTATATCGATCGGTGTTTGGCTTGGAACAGGATTTTTCGGAAGTTTGCGCGTCAGAGCAGGTAAAAACGCGGCGAAAGATCTTTCGATCTGTTCGCCTTTCGGTCGACCAAGGACCTCGGCTGGCCCGATCGATCGTTAAACTTGCCGCTTAATCGCCGTGTCAAACCAGTGCTGTAAACTTATACTACCAACTTCTACTACTTTCTCGAGCTGCTGACGGCGAGTCAGCGAGACCGAACCGCACGAAATGGCTACCGCCCGCCTGTGGATTTACAAAATTTCAAATTAGCCGGCGGTTCGTTTATAAGCGTGGAAAAATAAGCTGGTTCTTATTCTCGGCAAAACTCGTAACAACAGGACGAAAACTTTGTTAGGCGAGCGAGATTTAATTACTTTGGTCGAGGACCCTGAACATCCACGCAGAAATACGAAAACCTATTATCCTTAATTGATCGTGAACGCGTAAAACAGAACCGAGTTTTACACGTGGCTCGCGGTAATCGAAGAAATACGACGAAATCCATTTCTCAGAAGCCCCTTTTCGCTCGTACCACCAGTTACCAACCACCCTGTATATATAAAGAACAAAGACATTACATGGTAATGACAAAATCCGCAATCATTTAGTTGCCAACCCAATACTCGAAACCGCTAGAAGAATACCATTTCGACGAATTTCTGCCACTCCGAATGACTAGATCTTTTTCAAACTTCGAAATCCGTGCAACCTCACTGTGATTTTCTAAGATTACGGTGTTCTCTGGCGCTGGCAAATCGCGACAAGAATCGAGCAGTTGCGCTTGGACGATGAAAGGAAGACGACGAGAAGAACGCGCTACGTCCATTTACGTTTATTACCAACGAACGTAGAGAAACGCGATTCACGTTCGCATACGTTGATTTATATCGATCGGTGTTTGGCTTGGAACAGGATTTTTCGGAAGTTT